GGGTCATACAATCAAGAAGCGAGCAAATATGATTCCTCGCGGCCAAGAGTGTTGCACAATGCAAGAGAGACACAAACTTGTGCACCAACCTACAGGAACAACTATTCGTTTTAGTTTCCCAAGTATGCTATGACAAGTATGTATGATACCAAAATGATATATAATCCATGATGATGAATGTTAAATGCTCATAAGCTCTTTGTGTATTTTTCTTTTTCCTAAAAGCTGTTCTATCTCTTTTTTATATGCTTACTTTTCGACTGTGCTTGATGCTTGAGCCAAAATACAAGACAAGCATATAAGATATGCACGTGAGTAGCTTATGACACACAAGATGATATCAAGATATATGCGCACAATGAGCTATGTGATGATAGTGTATCACTACAGCGCACAAGTAATATGTCCCGACAACTCTCAAATAGCTAGTCTCAATGAGTAAGGTACACAAAAGACTCAGGGCTACCAATTGCAATGGAAAGGGAGGGTAGATAATGACGGAATGTATACCTTTTCCTTGGCTAATCAGGAAGTTTGCACGGCCGGGAGCTGCGTTGGGCCGAAAGTTTTGGAGCTGGAGCCCGAAAGCTTCTGGTCTCCGGCCTTCTTCTTCTTGGGGATTTCTGGCATCTCCTGATCCACTCTTTCTCCTTTGGCTCCTTGCTCCAAGAGGTGGCCTTCCTCGTTGCTTCTTAGGTAGCTATGTTGTTGTACCTAAGCACATATAGGGTTCCACCTTGAGGTAGCTCTACTGGATAGATGCCACCTCAGTTTGGATAGCACGTGCGCGAGCTCTTGTCAAAGGTCCACTTGGAGGTGTAGGTGTTGGTGTAGAATCCATGGGGTGCTCCGCACCAGCGTCGACACAACCTGGAGGAAATTCTGGACAACTCGTACCTCCACGACGGCACCACCTAGCTATCGAAGATTGCTGATTAGGTCGGTGATCCGCCTCGCAGACACTTTTAGCATCTTGTTTTCCATGAAGGTGATCTGCTCAAAGTCCATGCGGAGGTGTTGCATCGTCGCATCTTGAATGCGTGTCACGCCCATCCGCATTGTTTGCACGGCCTCCCAGGCCTCATATGCTGAGTTCTTGACGAGGAGAACACAGTGCATCTCCTGTGGCACTATACATATGAGCTCGACGAGCTCCGCCATGTCCTCGCGGTCAGTCACCATCCCCTCGCCAAGCATAACCTCCGAGAGACCCTGCACGTGAAAGTTGACCTGCATGATCAAAGCGCACTCAATGTAATTGGTAGGGGTGAGCGTGGGGTAGACGATTGTGCCGCTCCCGCTAGCGGTCTCTCGAATCACGTGCCCGTGGACGACGACCTCGCGTGCCGCTCCACCTGACCCAGCTATGCTCGTGGCTCCGTGGTCGCGTCTCCGTGCGCACCTCCGACAATTTGGAGCCTGATCACCCCTTATCGTTTACTGCCCACTGCTCGTCACCGGAAGGCTCCTTGTTGTCGGGCATGGCCCTCGGTACCCGTGGCTCTGATGCCAATTGTCAACCAGCGGCTAGCCTAGCTCACAATAAATCACTGTCCTCTGATGAATTCAAGGACACGGTGATTTGCGCACAACGCACAAAACTTGTTGCTTTTTTGTTTTATCTTCGCTCCTTTTATTCTGCTCGATGCAACAAACTGGCCCCGCTAGCTCACCACGACCTCGCTCGATCGAACGTGCCATCCCACGTCCACGAGGTGAGGCGTGCCGGCCAGGGCCTTGACTCAATCCACGATGCACACGACACGCATAGATTGCGGCTCGTGCTCCTTATTTCACGCGCGAAAGGAAAAAGACCGGCGAAGCCGGTCCTAGCTAAATCTTGGTTCAGGGTTTATCTGACACTCTCAAACCCTTGGGTGGGGCGACGGCGGCGAGCACAATGCAGTATGGTGCTTTGCAGCCGCATCATGCATGTAAAGAGAGAACAGTGTGTGATAGCACACGAGCGTAATGCAGTATGGTGCTTTGAAGCCGCGTCCCCGGCCGGCTGTGCTACACGCCGGCGAGTAGTATTTGCTATGCATATGCACCCAGTTTCAGAAAAAAATACAGTTATTGCGTATGACTGCACGCGCGTCTCCTCGGCAAAGGTACCCGCCAGCGATTTCACGCGCACTCGATCGGCGCGCGCGGGAACACGCCCCGGTACCGCATGCGCTGGCCGACTGCTCGTGTGACGCGCGCGATTAATGCAGGCGAAGTAAGCGCCGTCCTAACTCCGTGCTTTCCAGCGACCTCGCAAGCTCTATAAGAACCTCAGAAGCTCCCACACCCGCTTCTCATTCTTCCCAGCGACGAAATAGCTCGATCCCGTTCTTCCCAGGCTCGCCATGTCCGGCTCCAGCCTGTCCTCCGGCGGCGGCATGCCGTGGCAGACCGCTTCGGCCATCGTTGCCCGGCCATTGCCCGTCTCCGGCTCGCACGTCCTCAAGATCGACGGCTACTCCCGCACCAAGGGCCTCGTCAACGGCAAAGGTGTCTCGTCCGAGACGTTCGTCGTTGGGCGCCATCGCTGGTACATGAGGTACTTCCCTGACGGTCACTCGGCAGGACAAGCTGGTTGGATATCTATCTACCTCTATCTTGTCCACACTGATAGTGTCGATGATCAAGTCCACGCCCGGTGCAAGATAAGCTTGCTCGACCAGGACGGGGAGCCGGTGCCGGCGCACGGCACGGACAGCCAAACATGCTACACCTTCTCCAGCAATACAGGGCCATGGGGCTCTCCTCAGCTCATCGCCAGGAAGGACTTGGAGGAGTCACTTTACCTCAAGGATGATGTTTTCAGTGTCAAGTGCAAGATCACCGTGCCTAGGGAGATCTTCACGGAGCCCATCTCGCTGCTGGTCGCCGCGCCACCGTCCGACATGCACCGCCATTTTGGCCGGCTCCTCTCCAGCGGCGACGGGGCGGATGTCACCTTCGAGGTCGGAGGCGAGACGTTTGCGGCGCACAGGTGTGTGCTTGCCGCCCGGTCCTCGGTGTTCATGGCGGAGCTGTTTGGGCCGATGAAGGAGAACACCGATGCTTCTGTACGCATCACTGACATGGAGGCTAAAGTGTTCAAGGCCATGCTCCACTTCATCTACACAGACTCTCTGCCGCCCATGGACGATGAGCAGGAGCTGGTGGTCATGGCCCAGCATTTGCTTGTTGCGGCTGACACGTATAACCTCGAGAGGCTCAAGTTGCTCTGCGTGGAGAAGCTCTGCAATCACATGGACGCAAGCACCGCTGCGACTACGCTGGCATTGGCTGAGCAGCATTCCTGTTGCGGGCTCAAGGACTTGTGCTTCAAGTTCCTTGCGTCACCTGGAAATATGCTCAAGGCCGTTGTGGCGAACGACGGCTTCGAGCATGTGAGGAGCAGCTGCCCGTCTGTTCTCAAAGAGCTCGTTGCCAAACTTGCACCTTGATTTGAGACACCGCGCGCCCTCTTTGGCTTGATTATCCTGCAATTTCATGTAGTACTGAATGATTTGAGATGCCGCCTTCTTTCGGTTGATTATCCTGCAATTTCATGTCGCTAAAATTGAGCTTGTTACTGGATCTCAAGGAGCTCGTTACTCAATCATGTACTATCAGCAATTTATGTACTACGTACTTCTATTTGAGTTGCCTTTTCATGGTAGATTATCAGTGCCAAAATTATCCGGTGCTACCCAAAGATCCAACTTAATATATATTTACTTTGAAAAAAATAAAGGAAGTACCTAGAACTCATCTAAATGAGATATAATTTGGTCTCATTCACCTGGAAATCAAGAACAAAAACAACCCACGTCAGCACACATGCATCTTATAGCATCACATCCAATGGCTATAAAAGGTGAATGAGACCAAATTATATCTCATCTGGATGAGTTCTAGCAAAACTGAAAAATAAAACACCCCAACCCCACCCCGGTGTGAGATTTTTCTGTGGGCCCACCCCTCATTTTCCGTTCAACCCCCACATCATCCCATAATAAAATTTGCCTGTGTGTAGCATTGCTCTACACTGCATGGTTTTGCCTGAAAATCCTACATCCACGTGATGTCAGGGCATCTATGACGCCGACCCTCAAATCGCCCACAACCGTTCGGACTGTGCTGTTCGAACAACATAAGTTATCGGGCATGTATCGGCCCGCAGGGTGGTCTGGATATACTTTCTTAGGATCGCTCCCAAGTCCGCTTCTGACCACACTAGCCCACCCAACCCTCCTCCTGCGCTTTCCATCAAACGCACCACGCCACTTTCATGCCGGCCCAGAGCATGCAATAGCTGGCATTAATGTCGTGAATTGACCAGGTGGGAGAGCAGCGCTAACGGACATCGTCGATTCAATGCTGACACCATGTCTTGAGGAACCAACTCCGGCCGCCGGTGACACACAAAGCTGCACTTTACCTCCCCAAGCACTGGCCCCCTTTCCTTCCCTGTTTCCGTGCCCGAGCCCCTCCTCCTCTGCGACCCCAGCTGAGGCGATGCCGAAATCGTGCTGCTTCGCACCGACAGGCGAAGTAGGCGAAGCTCCTCCTCCAGCGGTTCTTGGCGCCACCACCCACACTCTCCGGGCCAGTAGGCGTCCACGAAGGCCGACTCCTCCGCCAAGGAGGAGATCATCATCTCCTTCGATGACGAGGAGGACCAGGTGCCGTCGCAGTCGCCCTGACTCCTCAAGGAGGCCGCTCTGATGGACGAAGATTTTGTCCGTCAGATCGAGATAATGACAGCGGTCGCTCTGTTACATGGGCCCACCGCCGACACGCATCAAGGAGGAGCCATCATCCCCGCCGCGCTACCGCATGAAGCGCGAGCCGGCGTCCCTGCTCCGGCCTGTGAAGGACGAGGCCGCCTTGTCCCAGCACAACCGTGATACGTCTCCAACGTATCTATAATTTTTGATTGTTCCATGCTATTATATTATCTTTTCTGGATATTTAATAAGCATTAATATGCTATTTTATATTATTTTTGGGACTAACCTATTAACCTAGAGCCCAGTGCCAGTTTCTGTTTTTCCTTGTTTTTTAGCTTCGCGGAAAAGGAATATCAAATGGAGTCCAAACGGAATAAAACTTCCGCGATGATTTTTTTGGGACCAAAAGACACCCAGGAGACTTGGAGTCCAAGTCAGAAGATCCACGAGGCGGCGGCAAGGGTGGAGGGCGCGCCCTAGCGGGGGGGCTGCCCTACCTCGTGGGCCCCCTGTGACTCCCCTGACCTACTTTTTCCTCCTATATATTCACATATATTCCCGAACCTCCAGAAGCACACACGAAAACACTTTTCCACCGCCGTAATCTTCTGTTCCCGTGAGATCCCATCTT